CCCCTCCAGGCAATTTATTCCAGTTTTTAACCACCCTGACAGGTACAAAGCTTTCCCTAATGTCCAACCCGAACCTCCCATGGTGCACGTTAAGCCCATTGCTTCTTCTCCCGTTCTCAGAGGCCAAGGAGAACAATTTCCTCCCCTCCTCCCTGTGACACTCTTTTAGAGACCTGAAAACCGCTAACATGTCCCCTCTCCGTCTTCCCTTTTCCAAACTAAACAAGCCCAAAATTCCTTCAGCCTTCCCTCATAGTTCATATTTTCTAGACCTTTAATCATTCTTGTTATTCTTCTCTGGACCTTCTTTAATTTCTCCCCATCTTTCTTGAAATATGGTGCCCAAAACTGGACATGACACTACCACTGAGGCCTAACCACAAAAATAGAGCACTCTTCCTCCGACTTCTCTTACTCCTCATACAGTGAGGTATGTGTCTAGACTGGCCACTTATCCGGAAAAGCAGGCGCTTTTCTGGAAAAACTTGCCAGCTGTCTACACTGGCCGCTTGAATTTCCGGAAAAGCACTGACGATCTCATGTAAGATTGTCAGTGCTTTTGCGGAAATACTGTGCTGCTCCCGTTCGGGCAAAAGTCTTTTTCTGAAAAACTTTGGCGCAAAAGGGCCAGTGTAGACAGCTCAGATTTGTTTTCTGCAAAAAAGCCCCGATCGCAAAAATGGCGCTCGGGGCTTTCTTGCGCAAAACCACGTCTAGATTGGCACGGACACTTTTCCGCAAAAAGTGCTTTTGCGGAAAAGCATCCGCGTTTTCCGAAAATGCTTTTAACGGAAAATCATGCCAGTGTAGACGTAGCTCTTGTGTCCTGCTCACAACACTCCTAAGCACAGTTTGGTTTATGATGCAGACAAGAAGCAAGACCTCATAGCAAACATTGCAACAGAACCATGTCCTAAGATAGAATGATTGACCGTAAGAAGCCATGGTCTCTTCCTACCTTAAAACCAAGGTTTGCATGTATGAGCGTACCGGAGGCGTATCTACCAACAGCACAAGCCATTCCTACCCGCTAATCAGGAAGGGCGGCTGGGAAGGTGAGACAGAAGGATACAGAGCTGATACGCCAAACATACAGAACTTAGAGCCTTCACTATACTTATTATCAGGGCTCGCCAAACCGCGGTGAGCCCCGCTCGCCAGCTGTGCTGTCCCTGCGATCGCACAACCCGGCTCTTCTGGGTTACAATCTACTCGCCACAGATGAGTAGATTGTAGAATTTGTCGAGCCCTGCTTATTAGATTCTTCTACAAACCCTAAAATCCTACATATTGGCTATAGTTGTTCCTTCCTAAGTGGAGCGCTCTGCATTTGTCCGTATTGAATTTCATGCTATTTACCTCAGACCATTTCTCTTCAAAAATCATTTTGAATTTTATTCCTGTCCCCCAAAGCACTTGCCACCGCTCCCTGCGTGGTCTGGGCAACAGGACCTCAGGGAAAGGGCAGGGACTCACTGGAGGGGTGGGGCATGGATGCTTGGTTGCGTGTGAGTAGAAGGTTGACTACCGTGGGTGCGCTTGTGCAAAAGCACAGCTCTCACATGGCTGGGTGCAAGTTTTCTTGCGCAAGACTTCTTGCACAAGAACCTTTGCACAAGATGTTCTTGCGCAAGCAGCCGCCAGTGTAGACATAGCCCTGGTGTTTGTCCTCATAAGGCTGAGATGGGTCCCAGGTGGGAGGTGGGGGGAGGCGCTGTGAACCCCCTCCC